ACTGCTTGCCCCTGGGATGTCAAGCAGCGTTTGCGCGAGGGCATCAGTCGCGCCCAAGTGCGGCAGATTTTGGAGGCGATTCCCGAGGCTCTGCGGTGATGAACCCGTCTGGGGGAGCGCGCCCAGATTAGGGACATTGGCTGTTAAGGACCCCCTAGGCAAGCGGCCCTGAGAGGCCTGACCAGCGGGAAACTTTGGCCGCCAGCCAAGAAGCATCAGCATGGCTACGTAGCCAGCCCCAAGTGCGAATTCGGTTGCGATGCTCTGGGCGCGTTCGGTCGCCAGTGATACGAGTGCAAACGAGTTCGGGAACCCAGTGGTGACCCAGCCGAGGCGTCCCTGTTTCCAGACGATGCGATTGAGCATGTGAATTTGCTGCGGGACAAAGCGAAAGGTATTCCCTCCGACTTCGACACTCCGGAGTTGGCGCATGGCGTTCCTCTCCTCCCCCTTAGCATTGTCCCAGCCAAGTATTCTCCCCAGTTCTGGGGTGCCACGAGCATGCCGTGGGGCTTTCAACGTTTTACCGGCGGCTCTGGGCTTTCGAACGGTCTACCAGAAGCTTGCCGCTGCGGGTGGGCCATGGTCGAGCTCAGTCCTGGGGGCTGGCCCATTCGGGCGTGTTTTGGGCCCCATCCCAGGGGCCATCCAGACCGCCCCCAGGGCCGAAAGGCATGCGTTGCTGCAGGCGGCCCGCCTCGGCCCGACACGAGTTGATATTAGCAGTGGTCACCTCTCTGCGGTGCAAGAAGCATCGAGCTGGCCTGCCGAGCTGGCTACAGGTTGTCACAAAGGGCGTGCATATGGCGAGAGTTGTTTCAGTTGTGTCCAGCAGAAGCTCCGCCCAGTGAGAGGCCCCGAGTCCGCTGGACCCCAGCCCACGGAGACCTCGACTCTCTCTTGTTTGGCCAGTGCGCTTCGAGCCTGGGTCGAACCGTGGACACTGCGGTTTTCGATTATCTGGGCAACATGTGGGCCGATTTCTTTGCTAAGCTGGGGGCGAAGCAGCATGTCATTGCTAACGTCGCCACCTCCACTTTAAAAACGCATTTGAAGGACGCGAAAAAGACGTACCGATTTCTGGGTCAGGTCGCTCAATTTGTCGCGTCTCCGGCAGATTCCTCTTCCATGTCTGAGAGGCCCTGCCGTAACCCCTTGGCGGTGTCTCAGCTTTCTCTCCTCTCTCACGACCTGGAGGTGGCGGAAAGTGGGGGGGGGTGCGGTGTACGTGGTGCCACTGCTCAGGCAGGACTTCGCTCTCTCGAGCAAAGGCTGAACAGCCTGGCAATAAGTGTGAGCCCACGCCGCTCCACTTGTATTTCGCAGCTGTTAGAGCCGTCCGTCACAATGGCTTCCCCCCTAGGGCGCGTAGTGATGCTGTCTTGAACGCCTGTCGTGAGCTGGGGCTCACTTATGATGGCCTGCACGTGCAGGCTCTGGAAACTTTCGGGTATCGGGGCCATTGCGTGCAAGCCACAGACAAGTTTTTGATGTGCCGCCGCTGCGGCGCCCGTGCCTCCATCGAGGCCCCAGTGTGGAGGGGCCTTTTGGCGGAATGCCGAAGCCCTGCTGAAAGGGCCTCCGTGCAGTCCTGGCGCATTGATGCTGCTTTAGCGGGTCGCGAAGTCCGCTAGGTGGCGCAGGCTATGGTGACAAGCAACGGCTGGTGCCGTCGTGCTGCTTGTCACCACGGCCTGTGCCCTAGTGGCCCTCGGCCTGTGCGGAGGGCTGCGGGACCGTGACACACGGGAATCCCGCGCCCTCCACCTTTTCCCTCTGCCCGCCAGCCCTCATCCGAATCGGACGTTGCGCCTCGGCCTGATACCTGATCCCTCCTCGTCCTCGTCCTCCTCCTCCTCCTCCTCCTCCCCCTCCTCCTCCTCCTCCACCTCCTCCTCCTCCTCCTCCTCCTCCTCCTCCTCCTCCTCCTCCTCCTTTTAACTTCCAAGAGACGCCAGAGGAGACTCCGAAAGTCACTCAAGAGGCTGATGGCTGCCCTCCTCGCCCTCTTCATTCCTCCTCCTCTTTCTCCTCTTTTCATCCAGGCCCTTTTGCTTGCCCTCGTCCTCCTGCTCCTCCTTCCGCCTCCTGCTCCTTGTCTTCCTCCTCCTCCTCCTCCTCCTCCTCCTCCTCCTCCTGTTCATCTTCCGTCTCCCCACTCCCTCATGCATCCATCCAGCCACCTCTTCCCTCCTACGCACGGTCCGGCCGTTCCCCTGTTTGCTCCCGCAATTCCCTGATCCCCTGAACTCGCCTGGACAGCGTTCCTGGATGGGCTGGTGGAGATAGTTTTTCGTCGCGGCCGCAAGCGGAAACGCAGGCGGCGTCCGAAGCCAGCCGGAACTACGAGCCAAACCCAATTTACCTAAGCGCGCGAACTAACGGCCGCCGAAACTGCCGCCGAGGGACGCCGAGGAGCGACGCCGGGGACTGAAGGTAGAGCTGCAAGAGGTGCCAGGTGTGCCAGGCGGCTGAAGTTCAAACTGGTGGGGATACTGTTTGGTTTGCGGGCTCGCGAAGCAGGTCGAAAGCCGTCCGAACACTAACTGGTGTGGATACTTTTTTGTCGCAGCCGCAGGCGAAGGCGCCAGCGGCGAGTGGAGTCGGCTCGGGCTACGAGCGGAACTAATTGCCAGCGCGCGCGGGGCTGAGCAGGACCTACCGCCGGGGGAAGCGGCTGCGCCGAAGCTGTGCAGCAGCGCTGGGGGGTGGGGACTGCAAGCTGCTGGGGCTGCCAGGGAGTTGCAAACGTGCGAGTACCAGGGGAGCTGAATCACCAGGTATGCGAATTACCCAACCAGGGTTGGAGCGCAGCCAAACTGGCGCGGGGGTCAAACCAGGATGTGGCCAGGGAGGCACCCAGGCAGTACACCGCGTCCGCTGCCATGGATGGATCAGATGGCCTTACGCTGGTGCGTTGGGTGGCGTCACCAAAGTCGCACACCAAACCTCCTGAAGGGGGTTCTGATCCTGAACCGACCACCGACCGTCCACGGGGTGGTCCCGGTAGGACGAGCGAAGTAGCCAGGACAACGATTGGTTAAACGACGCCGTAACACGCCTGAACCACGGATCAGGTAGAGCTACATGCACACTAGAGCAGGAACGCCGACGTTTGAGGGCTGACCAAACCAGGGCAACCCACGTCTCAAGCGCAGGGTCGAATGAACAGGAGGGTGCCGTGGGCATCGCCGCCAGGGACCGTGGACGTAGTCAACACAATCGTCCGACAGCCAGGAGAGCACAGGCTGAACCACGTGCACTCAGGGGCCAGGGGCGCCCCACGAAGGGGTTGAGCCGCTGGAGCTGAAGGGACCACGGGCCGGAGCTGACGGAGCCGCTTCGGTGCCAAGCCGCCTGAGCGGGGGGAGCCAGGATGGAGGGGGGCAGGGCAGTCCACCCGCGGGGGGCGAGACCGCTCCAGCGAGGCGGTTGCCCGAGGGCGCGGGGAGTGGAACGCGCCGATTGTGGTGAAAAGAGCTACAGCAGGGCCAGGGGCCAACTAGGACAGGTGGACCACGGCCCCAGCGGCAGTCCACGTGCCGGTATTGTCAGCAGGCCGCTGCCAGGATCCCAACTGGTGGGGATACTTTTTTGGTCGCGGCCGCGAGACAAGGGTCAGGCGGCGAAAGCAAAGTCCGGGGCACGAACGAGGCTAATTAGCTACAACAGGCACAGGCCGGCCGGCCCGCTCACAAAGCAGCCGCGAAGCTGAAGGGGAGCTGACGGCAGGGGTATCCCGAGAGCACTGGTGGGGATACGCGAAGCGTCTGGAGTTGCGGATTTCTCTTGCCGAATGGATCCGCGGGGGCCACGGGGTCGGACACGAGGCGGAAAAGCCCGCCGTGATCTGTCAGGACGCCCGGATGTCAGGGAAACAGGGGTGCGCACCCCTGCCATGGAACTCTTGCTGAGGAAAGCTGCGTCAAGGCTAGGTCACCGACGTTTGGCGGCTTGTCGGGGGTTGTCTGGGTGCGACCCTCCTTTTCCTCCTCCTCCTCCTCCTCCTCCTCATCCTGCTGCTCCTCCTCATCATCGTCATCATCACCACCATCACCATCACCATCACCATCGCCATCACCATCGCCATCATGATCAGCAGCATCATCAGCATCATCAGCATCATTATCGTCATCATCAACACCAGTATCATCATCATAATCACCATAATCCTAATCATCATCAGCATAGTCATCATCACCATCATCATCGTCGTAGTCATCACAACCCCCACCATCACAACCGTCATCAACAACAACATCGTCACCATCATCACCGCCATCAGCATCATCAACATCACCATTATCATCAATATTCAAACCGTCATCGTCATCATCACCACCACCATCGCCATCATCATCAACATCATCAGTATCATCAACATCTTCATCAGCAACATCATCATCACCATCATGAGCATGAGCATGATCATCATCGTCATCATCAACAGCATCATCGTCCTGACCATCATCATCATCATCATCATCATCATCATCATCATCATCATCATCATCATTATCATCGTCATCATCATGAACATCAGCATCAGCATCATCAGTATCATCATCGCCATCATCATCAAACAACATCATTGACATCAGCGTCATCATCATGGTCCTCATCATCATCGTCGTCATCATCACCATCACCATCATCATCACCACTATCTACACCATCATCATCACCATGATCATCAGCATCATCATCATCATCATCATCACCATCGTGACCATCAGCATCATCATTACCATCAGAAGCATCATCATCCTCATTTTCATCCTTATCCTCATTCCCATCCACCATTCCTCCTCCCTCCTGCGCAGGATCCCGCGTGCGCAGGAGCGCAGAGAGGGAGAGGAACAGCGTGAAGGAGAAGGAGCAGGACGGAAGAGGAGACGGAGGCGGAGGGAAGAGGAGGGTGGAGCCGGGAGGGACGAGGACGGATAGAGGAGGCCCACTCTTCTCTCTTCCTCCGAGGCCTATGCTTGATAACAGCCCACCTGGCCGATGAGCTCCGCGAGGCCGTTGGCGGGGCCGAGTTGCAGCCCATGGTGCCTCGCCACCTTGTCGA